TCTTGACTCAGTGGATAAGACTTTGCAGACTAGTTGTCTCAAACAAGGGTGTTTGGCGTACTCCGAGGGTTAGCTTGACAGGTTTGCGATCAATCGCAAACCGTCAAAGCTGGTCCTTCTAACTTTGACCGATTCACACGGATAAACATCCCCGTGAAAGTCCAGTCCGGAAACGCGCTTCATTGGTTCTGCCACGGCAGAATTCATGGATTTTACCAGAGAGATCCAGTCAACAAAGAAGTCTTAGAATTGCAGAACTGACCGAACCGACTTGACCATCAACCCCAAAGGCTTGGCTCTTTGAAACACCTGGACATTCGAAAAAAAAAACACCTGGACCTCGTTGTTCGCCCGAAAACCCGGCCGTCTGTGCGGCCAGGACTCCAAGTACTGTCCAAAGCAGCTGGGCGGCACGGGCGGAGGGGTGGAGGGTGGGTGCAGACGTCTCGGTGAAAGAGAGCAGAAGGTTTTTGGGGAACGGAACATTGGATGGCGGAAGAATGGAACAACTCGTCATGTCGCACTGGAAGGGGTGGTGTCGGCTTAGTCTTCACCAGGCGAGTCAAAGACTCGCTGTAGTCTGATGACCTGAGGGAAGTGTGACATTCGCCCACTCATGTCACCAAGAACAAATCCCTGAGAAGAAAAAAAGGTCGAACAACGCTCGTCGGCACGTGCCACTTCGGTGGTTTCCTTTGGCATCTCCACTTCCGATGCCAGCGATGCCCGCGACCATGCCAAGGAAGTCACCCTGTTGCAGCGATTGCGTTTCGGCAGATGGGACGGAGGTGGATGTAGTGACACTTGATGATATTTCGACCCCTAATGTTAAGAGGCTCTACAATCAACATGATATCAACAGGGGTGGGTTGACAAATCAAGAGTCTACATAAGGTCAATTTTGGGGTGGGTGACCTCCTGGACCGGTGACTGGTGGATGCTTGGACCGATGACAGGCCGTAGAGCCAAATCGCTTGACCTTCGTGATCCGTCTTCCCTGAAAGTGGTGATCCTTCAGTGTTTCTTGGCACCTTTGATCTCACCTGAATGTCACAAGTCTACTGTGTAAGACTCCTCATTGTCAGATGGTGAAACTTTGGTCCACATGGCGCCCTTGACAAGGGACTTCAGTTGGCTGCCAGCTGCTACGTTTTTCACATGTGGACAGCCACGCTGCCCCGCGCTACCAGGTCCTCAACGTTACTTTTGCCCAGACAACAAGGGCTGCTATGCAGAGTCCCAGAATGGCTGCCCCAGCGCCTGGTTGCAGCGACCGTGGGGGGGGTTGTTGGCGTCTTTTTTGTGATCTGAGCCAGGTGAGCGCAAGTATTCATCGAGTTGACTTTGGTCACTTGTTTATTTTTTTCAAGAAATTCCGTGTTCAAGCTTTGTCTGGTCCGTCTCCTCCTAAAAGCCCCAGCAACAATGATCAATAATCTATTGAAGGAGGTGTGTATATATATATATATACATACAAGTTTCGCATCCCTGATACACTGGTGACTTTGGCTAGACTGTAAAACAAGGAGACCAACCCAGCCCAGAGACATCAGGAATTCAACTCAAGCTGCTATCCAAATTATGTAGATGATTTTTGCAAAAGAGTTTCAAGGCTTTCAACGCAATCCTGCGTTTTCAAGAGAAACTGGCCGGGACATCATGTCGCTTTACTTGCGGCAACATGTCACTTTCTTGGTGATTCTTGGGATTCTTGGGACGGCCCGGTTCTGGGCAATGTTCCGTTTTCCTGGGTCAAAGTGGTCATTCGATCCCTCAGTTGGTGCATTCATCATCCTCTGCTCACGTCTCAGTCCTTTTCGCCCACTCTTAGGCGCTGTATGCCCAGCAGCGTCTTCTGAGATTGTGACGTGAGAAAGGAAAGTTGCAGGGCAGGTCCCAAGCAGCAAAGAATCACTTCTCATACAATGAAGGAAACGGCCAATCTCTCGCCGACTACAGCATGTTCAGACTAGATTTTGTAGTTGGGTAATTTTTGGGAGTCATTTGTTAACTTTAGCATTTGATGCTGTGTCATCTACCTGAAAGCTCTGTAGTTACTGTCCGCATTCTGGTCACTTTCACTCGCCTGTTTAGCCATGTACCGTTTCTATGCAAGCTTTGAGAAAAGAGAGCACTAAAGGTTTCTATGGTGGTTCATGCCGTGCGGACTCGCATTCGTGTTTTGCGAAATCAGTTTGGCTGCAAGACGACCTATATTTAGTATATACACAAGATGTATCTAGAATGCTTCCTGGCTTGTGCTTTTGCCATAGGGTGGCTTCTTGGAAGCTCGTGGCTTTGCTGGTTGCAGTGGTCCACTTCCTTCTCCATCGTGAGTGGAATCCAGGCTGGAGGACCGGTCTGGATTAGGCTGGCACCTTTGGAGCTTTGAAACTCTAGGTCCAGGTTGCGAATATGACTTTGCTGCCTACGGACCTACGGACACCAAACTGACAACCTGGAATACCCTCAACGATGTTCGAGTTTGGAGTGGCCTTCAAGCGGAACTTTGGGACTGCGCCAACGAATCATTGTGCCGAGAGCCGCGGAACCCCATGGCCACTCGGCAGGCTCGATCAGTTGGGCGAGACAGGTGGAGCCGCTTTTGCGGCCAGAGCTGGACAGAGCATACGCATGCCACATTGGAAGTCAGGGGCGCGGATTTCACTCCGCACGGGTGTTTCGGGCCTCACCAGCGATGGAGGAGCACTTAACGAGAAGTTCCCAGAGGACCAATGCAAGCCGAGGACCACTGCAGAGCAGAGGTGTTCGAGAGACACTGCAGAGCCTTGACCCAGGCGGCATCACAGGGCAAGAGTTCGGTCCGTGGGTTGGGTTTTTGCCTTTGCTGCCCGAGATCACGAATATTGGAGCAGGCAAGTTTTTCGACCAGCACGCACTTTGTTGGCCCGCGGGGGAAAGAGTGTGTCAAGCTTTGGCAGGCGTGGCTGGCAGTGGGTTTGGCGCATCAGGAGAGGGGTGTTGCTGCCAAGTTTGGTGTTGCAGGAAAACTTGGGAAGTCTTCCAGGTCAGCCTGAGATCACGCACATGACATGCAACCCATAATTGCCATGTAGCCATGTCTTTGAAAGGCTATTCAGCCATTCGTTCTTTCCAAGAAACAGGGGCAGGTCGAGGAGATGGATTTGGTAAAGTCTTCGTGCTTATAGGTGCACCATCTTCTCCAACCAATCTCTTCTCCTCACATGTGCACACAGGCAAAGCAGTGGGCCTAAGTTTCCTCTCAGGTGCCGGGGTCCGCTAGGATGTTAGCGCCCTCGTTTCTTGGAACCACTCCAATCAATCCTATCCCGCTGCGCACAGAGAAGTGCGAAGCTTCTAGAGTCCCAAAGAGGACTGTGCGGTGGCCTGGTTAGAAGGCTTCTATTTGACTGCTGGAGGACATTCTTTTTCCAAAGGTTTGTGCATCACTTCACCTCGAAAAACTTCACCTTGAGTCTTCTTGATGGCCACGGTGGCCACGGGGCAAAGTGCTAGGCTAGTTGGGGGTGACTTTTGTTGATTTGCGAGGCTAGGATCGCAAACTGACACAGGGTGGGCCCCAGCAAAGTCCAAAGTAACCAAAGTTCCTTTGAGAACATCACACTGGCAGATTACAACTGTCTTGGTCAGACGCCTTCGGACTAGCCCCCCACCATCGCTTGATGACCTCGGTCAAAAGACTGAAGTCCTGAATTTATTGGCTCCGACCAGCATGGCAGACTCGCTTTCAGGGTCACTGAGGTCGAGCAAAGGCTGAGGTCGCCTGTGCGGTTGACGCTGCAGCCGCAGCTGTTTTGCTGCAGTGGAAAAACCAGCTGTGTTCGGTCCACCAATCACCAGTTTCTTATCCGGATCCTTTTGGTCATCCATGAAACTCTTTTTATGTGGTGAAGCTCGAACAAGTGCCTACAGAAACACGGCTGGATCGAAGGGAGGATAAGCAAGGCTGACCATGCCCTTTTCTCCCTGCCCCCCCTCGTCAGCCGGAAGCGGGCAGTCCTGGGTCCAGGGTGGAAAGCAGAAGGACTATGGAAATTACAAAACCGTGATGACACAGTGAACAGGTTGGGAAGCAGAACTTCTATGCTAGAAGTGCGCAAGTGGATGCAAGTGGTTTGATTTCCAGCAAGAGAAACTCATCATCCTATGTTTATCACCCTATGGGTTCACTTGAGTTCAGGACCATCAGGCTGTACCCGAAAACTTGAATAGTTCAGTTTGCTCAGCCGAGCGCCGAACACCTTCCCGCTTCTTTGCTTCGAGGTGTGTTGGTGAGCTGCCCCAATGAAGCCACACAAAAGACAAACCATCATCCTCCATCCTCATGTTGGGCTCATGGAGGCCATTCCTATTAGGTTGGAGGCAATCGCGTTTAGGTTGGAGGCCATCGCTATTCAATGCTATTCATTAGGTTCCTTTTGCTATTCATTACGTTCTTTTCATATTCTTCCGCACAAGACCCGGACAGCTCCCCCCCGACGGAGCGCTTCGCCGAGCGATTCGCTTCAGTCGGACCGGACGCCCGAGCCGGCGTCCTGCGCCCCTCGGTCGTCCTGGCGAGTTCACCGGAGAAAGCGAACAGGTTTTGGAGCAGGGTGATGAGGTCTGTAGTCCATGGTGCATGTTTGAAGGTCCCGAAGGGCACCCATGAGCAAGTGTTGCAGTCATGGTGTCTGATGTTCCAAGGGACTGTCGTACAAAGTCAATGGTTGTTTGTGTGGAAGGCAGTGACTGCAAGATCTGACTCCCGAATTGCACTGCGCAAGTCTGTTTACCGGAATCGTGTAGGGTTGCCGGTTGCCCTCACAAGCCGCAGCTCTGTCACTTTTCGACTGCTGCATGCAGTGTTTCTCCTAAATCAATATCGCATGTATACATATACTAGAGGACACAGGACTAATCATTAGCTATTTAGTCGCTCTGTCACTAGGTCCGTTTGCGACGCCCCACTGTGCCCCGAAACCTTTTCCAAACGCGGGCTTTTGACGGTCTCTGAGGCACGGAGGCCGACGCTCTGTGACGATGGCGATGAGATTTGCGAATTCGTCGAGGCACGTGTCGTGTCGAGGTCCTCGTTTTCACCCGTGCGAGTGCCTCGATGTCTCGTGAAGGCCGGTTGGAGAGAATTTAAATGGATAGTGTATGATATTTTATGGCAAACCATTCAAAGCCCACCATGCTTCAGACGAAACAGGATTCCTCATTGGAAAAAGGAACCACACCATTTTATGAGGAATCCTTTTTCAACGAGGAAGCACCGGTCTTCTGTTTGAAGCACCGGGGGACAACCCCGCGCCGGTTGTCTCCGCGCCGAGACCGGAGCAGCCGGGCGGCTTTCAGGACCAGAGAAGCACGCAGCTGGAGCAAGAGAATGAGCGCGGGCGCTCGGAGACGAGCCAGCGAACACGGCGAGGATGGACTTTGGGTGGATCAAAAGGGGTGGGGCGGTCTAGAACATTTCGTGTAAAAGAGTGTCAACCCTTCCCTTGAATGGGGGTCATGTTCACATCTGAGGTTTTGGCTTGCGGATCTTCTATTCGCCTTTGCTCTAGCTTCGATTCGGAATGAATAAAGGGGAGATTCCTCTAACCCAAACATTTGTTGTCTAAATCAGTTTTCCCGCATGGTCTAATTTTCCTTATGAGCCAGAAACAAGGTCACATGCAGATAACTGGCCGTAGGCTCTTGCATGACTGGTGCTGCAAAATCATGTGCTCTCCATATATGTTTGAGTTTTGATCCTTCAGAAAAGGTCGTACTATTTCAGGTCTTTTTGAAACAGAGTCGCACATTTTTTCATCGCCAATAAGGAGACTCACGCTTTTCCACCAGTCCGTGGTTTCCCCCCAAACCGGAAAGAGCCCGGTGGACGTGAGCACCTGCTGTACATGCCCAACGAGCACCGGCCTGGTCTCCACGTCGACCGGTTCGACGTCTTCGGAGGGTGCTGAGAGTCTCCAAAGCTTGGGCCGAAGGCGCGCGCGTCGCGCGGCGGAACCGGCGGTGAAAGGAGCAAAAGGTTGGATCAAGTTAGGCTATGCAGCTGAAAGAGGTGTCTGTTTGGGAGTTGGCCAGAGGTGGAAGAATTCCTATGTCCCCCTTGCGTCAAGAATACACCAAGTGCAGGCCTTCTCAGACACCATCGGGGTGGCCGGCTGCCTAGCCTATGTGACGCGTCCTCCGGACAGGGTCGGATGAGTCCTCCGGACAGGCCAAACGGGTCGGTGCCATCCTTCCCCCACCGAACCCGGCACCACCTGAACCCGCTCGGCCAGGCACCTGGGCAGCTGATTGGGGGCCGGAAGGCCCCGTGGGGCTCGGCTGGGCGACGGCCATGGTGCCCGATGCGGATCGAAGGCGATCGAGGAAAGTGCCCACACGACGCTCGAGGAGCAACCGCGCGACGTGGGAACGTGGGGGGGTGAGGGTCCAGGTGTGATGCTGTCGGCTTAGCCGTGGCTTTTGGGAAAGGCTGCTGAACATCTGAACAGGGCGTCGCGAAAACTGTTCAAACAACTCCAAAAGCCCAGTGAGCGAGAGGATCCATGCGCCGTCATGCGCCTGTTTGCCTGTTGGTCCACTGGGACAGCTCAGACACTTCTCTCGGACTTGGAGACCGGGAGACCTAATTGAGTCCACCCAAATGGCAAGCATGTCATTGTGCAGTTGTGGCGCGGGTGGATCAGCTATGGCAAACAACCTTCAGCCATAGGGATTGGAATATCCTCTACACAATCATGGTGGTTGGGTACCCTGAAAAGCGATTTTTCTAACAGGCTTTTCTTGGTTCAGAAGGAGGCTTGTAAGCAGCAAACCTTGAAGTTTCTCGATTTTATTATAGAAGTTGAAGGTGCTGTACGAGCTCGATTCTATAGAGATGTTGTAGTGATGGTGAGATGGATCTTGGTACCTCAAACATGCTGATTCTATAGAGAGATGTTAGCACTATTTTGCATGTCAGGGACAACAATTTTATAGAGGAGGGGGGAAGTGGATGACTTGGGGAAGGGGGAGGTGGATGACTTGGGGACAACATTTGGACACTATAAAATCACAGTCCCTTAGCTGTCCATGAGGACCTTTGTCTTCACTACAATAATCACTATAAATTTGGGGTCCTTCCAACAGGTGAGCCAATGCCTTCCTTGACATGTTCGGCTCCAATACCCTATACCTTGATTCTATAGAGACAATTTTTCTTGCTCCTTAAACAAAAAACAACACCTGTTCCACAGTATTTCCGGACCAGCATTTTAAAGAGGAAGATCTTCAATATTCTTCCATATTCACAGCTTTTTACAGGCTGACCCTATTCTATAGAGCTGACGCCTTGTTTCTAGACTCTTTCCCAATATGCATCTTGATTGTATAGAGTCAACAAGTTAACACGTTACCATTTTTTGAGGGAGTAGTTGGTCCCAGCATTTTAGCACTATAAAATCGTTACTCCCGATGTACCCACTTAATTCCAATTGAGATCTTCAGCCTATATGGTGCCTGCTGAAACACAGAGGAAAGGCGAATGAAGAAAACAGCAACAGCTGGTTTGATCGGTTGGAGGCCCCCACGAAAAGGATTTTTCCACGGTTTCCAATGCATGATCAAGGTTCAAGGATGTTCAAGGTTGTTTTGAGAGTTTGGTGCACCAAATGGTGGGTATCGCACCGGGACCAGGGAATCCGGCACATGACTCATTTGTTGGTCTTTCGTCTCAAAACAAGACAGCCTAGGAAGTGACGGTTTTCGCCCGGGGCCCCGGTTTTGGTCTGACTCGGTCAAGCGACGAAGCTGTGCAGGGCTTTTCATGCGGCGCGCGCGTGGCGTGAAGCTTGATGGATTCATCGTTCGATGTGTTTGTCAAGCTTGATGAAGCCAATTCTCCAAAGAGGTTTGCCCAGGTTTGATGTTCGCAATTGTGTGTGTACACCTTGGCTTTAGAGGTTACCTTTGGGTTCGGTTTCTTACTCATACTGCAGGGGGACCATCCATGTACTGTGCGCGATGGTCCAACGAAGCGGCCACAGTACATACTGATATCACGGCTGATCACCGTGACATACCTGCTCTTTTTTGTAGGTGTTCCTAGTCACATCCTCCTCTAGGCTTCAGGCTGGTGAAGTGGAGACAGGTCTGCAGACTTTTCCTCGTGTCGTCGGTCGCTCGTCGACCCGTGCACTGTGGAGCACGTACTGTGGAACTTGAACTTTGGAGGTGATCTTGAGACCTTGAGGTGGTCAGACCACTTTACATGACACCTGTTTTACTCAGGCAACTTTTTCACTTAGGCTTCTTCAGGGGAAGTGGTACGCATTTTGTGAACGCCCTGGAACCATGGGCCTCTTTGGAGTTTAGAGCAGGGGCAACTTGGCCATCACACAAAAGCATGCCAGCGAAGTTGTGCGTGATGGTGGAATATCAGCGTGGAGCACCTGCATTTCTTTACACCCCCGCTAGCGCCCAGGCAATTTGATTGACCCAGGGTTGGGCTGCGCTAGAGCTTCGGCAGTGCGTGCTATAATGTCTATGTGTCTTTCCTTTGTAGGCTGTGAGCCCCCAGTGCCAGGGCAGCCAGAATTCCATACTGTTACGGTGTACGGTGGTGCAAATGTCCCTATAGACGGACGCACAAGCGTTGTGCGTACTAGTACTATCTGGAATAAATGCTAAGTCGTGCCAATCCGGATGGACGGTGCATAGAATACCAGTGTGTTGAGTGCGTGTTTGCGTGTCTGGGGCCTTGTGGCTGGGGTTAATAATTGGGGATTGATAAGTCGGCAGCTAGGGAAGCTCCATCGCCCAGGTTTTGATGACGCCTTGACGGCTCAAACAGTTCTCCGAGTGGTTTTGCCCACCGTGGGCGTGGCTTTCCCTGCACTAGTGGGATTGGAGACAATCTGCGGGGTACATTTCTCAAAACAGAGAGGGGTTCCCTGCTAATTTCTATGTCCTTCCCTGTCAACGTGTAAATGAAGGCAACAATTTATCCTCACATTTCTTCATAACACTTGCTGAAAATGAGCCCGCAACAACAACATTATATGCATGTTTATATCCCGTTCAAATGCCTTGCGTTGGACATGCCCACAAGATTCTACATTTGAGAATTTGCGGAACACATCCTTGCCGCACGGTTTCACACAAAACCTCTCTGCTGCCGCGCCCACGTGGCGTTGAGGCCGTCTTCGGCGGTGCGGCGATCTATGGACCAATCTGCCTGTGGCTGCAGGAGCTGCGGTGGAAACGCGAGGTCAACACACTCGTCGACTCGTTTCGGGACCGACGTCTATTTGCGGGACGTTTCTTCGCGAAAAGGAACTCCTTTCTGAAAATCGAGTTCTTTTTGGGGTGAAGGTCCCTAATTTGTTTGGGGTGACGACTCTTGTATGTTGAGTTTCTGGGTTGTAAATGGTGTTGCAAGCCCACTCATGACAGTAAACTCACAAAAGGAAACGCCGGATCCCCTTCTTGAGACTCCCAAAAAGCCACCGCTCAAAGAGTCTGAGAGGGAACCCTGCGGGGTGATCCAGGGATGGGGTGCCGGTAAAATCTGATGTGTGAGACATGGAGCGACTCTTGTGGAAACAGGGAGCGACTCTTCTGAGGTTTGGTATACGAAACCGTTCTGAAACTGGGACAAAGCCTATATATATATATATCTCAAAAACCTCGAAGTGGATCCTACCACCACATGTGGGCGCACCTATTTTCCATCCTGCGGAACTCGTGCCTAAAGGTGTTCCCTCGACGGCCGGCAAGTGGGCTGGTGCTCATGCCGAATGCAAATCAACACTGCTTATAATCTTCTTTAGAAAATCGACGAAGCATCTTTCATGCAGTGCTCGAATCTAGGCAGCCTATCGAGGATCCAATCGTGATTCACGACTTGAAGACCCTTCGCGTGCTGGTGCCAGCGATGACCTCACCGAGTGAACTATCCGACTTGCACTGCTCGGCTTCATGCTGAACTAGAAAATTGGCCAAGTCAGCCAACTCACCACCAGCACTGGACTGCCGGGACTTGCACCATTTGATGTATCCCTTGGTCTCTTCCGCGCCGGCATTGATCAAGTCAGCATAGCTCATTCCCTTGCCTTTGAACTTGCCAAAACCAATGATCGACTGGCTCCACTGCGTCAAACTCTTCACTCCAGCTGGCAGGTAGGTCGGAGCCGGATCCAGCGATGAGCTGGGGAGTGGCACAGGCATCATTTCCTTGACATAGTATCCCATAGAGCCGTCGGTCTGCAGAGGCATGGTCGAGCTCTTTTGGTTTGGCTTCTTTGCCACGGGCATTTGGTCATCTCCCAGACGCTTGGTGGCGTTTGACATGCCACCAGTGGTCACCAGTTCAAAACCATCGTCCTGAAAGTGACGGCCGGTCTTCTCGAGAGCAGCAAGAGGATGCACACCGTTGGCAGCTGCTTTCTGGAGCAGCTCTTGCAGCTTGGCGGCATCATCAGAGGTCCAAGCCATTTTAGATCTTGGTCGGCTGACTCGAAAACAATTCGTGCTCACTTCAAAAGGCTGCGGAGGCATTAACGAGTGAAAAACATGCACGGCACTGCTTAACCAACATTTCACAAAAACAACATATGCACTGAAGACTCGCACCGCATAGTGCTCCCACAAGATACTCTCCCGAATATGACTATCTTATCTTTCACTATTCAAGATGTTAAAGTCTTTCAAGCATAGCTGATCTATCTTATGGTTCTGAGTGAATTATGGGATCGCACGTTGGCTCTGCATTTTTGCCAGGGGAATGATTGGATGCCAGTTGACGTCTCTGCATCCGAAGTTCCCTCTCAGCAGCTTGTTGAGCCAAAACATGTTCCTCAGGTGAGATTTGGTATGTTCCACTTCTCATGCAAGCCCTTAGGAGATCTACAGGATCTAGTTTATCCTTAGTGAGGGCGTCGGCAAGCATGCGATTCGTGGGAAGCCATCTCATGGAGGCTTTGAGTCTACGAATGGATTCTCTGATGATAACAATGTCGATGCTGGTTCTTCGATCTTCTACTGCAGTCGGTGATGAGGGTGAAATCAAGTGGTCATACAACGATTTGCAATCTGTTGTGAGAATCGGTGATCGAGCTTGAAGTCTTTCCAGGAATTGCCTTGGCTCAAAACTGCCATCCAGGGCTTCGCTCAAAATCAGACTCATCCATTCAACCGTGCCTGACGCGGTGGACAGAGCTTGACTCTCTCCAGCGAGTGTGGAGCTCACGGCTCTTGGCAGCTTGTAACTACGCCAAACAATCGGAGTCCAATGAGAAATCTTTCCTTCATTCAAGTCTTTATCTACAAAGGACAGGACGTACCCAGCCTGGGTGTGAGTTCCAACATTCGCAAACGCTGCATCAGAATGACAACAGATTCGGAGTCGTGCTGGATCAATCGGATGGAAGTGGATCTTCAAATCCTTATGTTGCTTGATTCTACGAACAGCATTATTTGCTTCTCTCAGATTCTTGATGGTCGGCCTAGGGAAGCATTGTTGACTAAGACTGGTCTGAACCGAAGCATCAGGTCGTGATTGAGTAGAAATCCAGTTGAGACTTCCATTTATCGCCCGAAGAACCCTGGTCTGTTGCTCGTTCAAGGGTTGTTCATTGTTTGCTCCCTTCGGAATGTGGGCCGGTCTAATCCCTTCAGCAAAGGTCTGTTGCGACATTGATATGCTTTTGGTTTTAGGATCTTGTGTGTAAAAGGCTCCACAAAACTCTCCTGACTGAACCCGCCATTTCCGGTATGGGAATCGTTCCTTGAGTTGATGCACTGCCTTTTCGAAAAGGGGTCCAGTTCCACCTATTGCTGTATCGTCAACGTGAACACCCATGATACCGGTTAAACCATAGTGGTCACGAAGAAAATAGAGACAGGAGTCGAAGGTGGACTTTTCCCAACCAATGCTGGTGGCGGCTTGGTCGAAAGCCCTGTGCCATGCGGACGGAGCGTCGTTCTGTCCGTAGACATTCCCAAACCATCTCCAAGACAGCGTCTGCCTCGACTCCAGGGATGCCCCCTTGAGGCTGCTTTGCAAACAGTGGCCGAAATCTCTCTGGAAGTGGACCGGCCTCTAGGAAGGCGCCTCTTATATCGCCTAACTGCAAATCCCAACCATGTGAACATATGACTTGCATGAGTATCATACGTCCAATCTGACTGAGTGTGGGGCTCTGGAGGAGTCCCTCAGTCCCTCATCCAATTTTTGGTCGAGATCTGGGTCTAAGTGACCTTGCAAGCACCACCTGCTTTTGATGCGGAACGTGGAGGGATCCTGAATATCGATATGCAGGTTTTCTTCTAATGGTTTTCTCACAATGACAAACCTGCTACCCATGAACCGTTCTGGATATTTGCTTCTTAGATATGCTGCCTTCTTACCTGTATGAACCCGAATAGCCCCTTTTTCTATCAATGTGGACCATTCTACCAGCTTGGATTCGTCCACCATTTGCTGCACAAGAGGTTCATTTCCCACAGCAGGCACTTCTTTAGATGTCTTCTTCTGAAGATATGCTGCGATCAAGATTTCAACGTCTTGGGTCTGATCCCAAATTTGCATCAGTTGTTGACATTCTTGCACTGACTTGATTTCATGTGGCAACTGTGAGGTTAGCGACTCTTGTGCATCATCAGTCTTGGGACGCACAGCTGGTGGCTCTTCAGTTGCCACTTGCGAATCGGCAGACCTCTTAAGACCACTACCGCTGCTGGGACCACTGGACACGTCTTGCATGCTGTCAGGATCTGGTTCCCAATTCACTGCTGTTGATTTATCTATATGCTCAGTGATGAGTCTGGGGACAACTTCAGTCATGAGATCCACAAAGTCATCTTGCAGCATAGGTCTTGGTCGAAAGAGTGCTGCTGGTCCACTTTTCATGGCCACTCGCGATCGAGAGCGAACGGGGCCATAACTCGAGGCAGTCTTCAAGTCGGATCCAGATGTTGAGTTCTCTTCAATGGACTTTTCTCCATCGGTCTTCTTGCCTATCAGTGGGTTTTCAGGAGGACTTGGAGCTCCCTCGTCAGTACTTGGGGGATGAAGAGGCAATTGGTCAGACTCATTACCAGGCTGCTCAACGGACCCAGGCACTACAGGGTACCCCCTTGGATGAGATCTTTGATTCCTAACAGCTCAGATTGGGACGTCTTGACCAAGATACTCTCTTCTGACGTGGCTGGACGCAGTTGTTCGGGTGCACAGCGAAAGATATGCTTGCGATGAGCGATCACATAGTTTCGACCAACTTGACCGATAACTATGGCGGTACCATACCACTTTCCCCCCAAAACTACCCCCTGACCTTGTTGGAACTTCTGATGTCTCCAGTACGCAACCATGGATCCTGGCTCAAAGACTTGGTGCAGGCGTGGCCGGGCCGCCAAGGCTCTACGAAGCGACATACTATCCTGCATTTCGATGACCGCTTTGCGGGCAGACAGTCGAATGGCCTGTGATTGTGCCAGACTGGCTTCATTGAGGCTTGCGGTGGCTGGCACGACATGAAGTGGTTCGTCCAACAAGTCGGAAGGAATGCGGGGATTCTGACCGAACACGTGTTGATGGGGAGTGTAGCCATAGTTCTGAATCATCTGGTTCTTGACATGTGCATGTGTAACACACTCTTCCCAAGCCTTTTGAGTTTCGGGTGTGTGTTCAGCAATGATCTTGGTGAGAATGCGGGCGAACCAACCTCCATGAACTTCTGTTCTACCTAGTTGCCAGTGTGCTTCGCCTGCGATCTGTCGCACTTCGGTGCCTTGCAAATCGAGATGGTTTTGGAGTGCCTCTCCCATGTTAGTTCTGGCCTGATCAAGAACCACTACCTTCGGGGGACCGAAAATGCGAATCCAATGATCGGTGAACAATCTTCGAAGAAGTTCCGAGGTCTCGGCTTGGAAGAATGGGATCATCAGTTGATAGCAACTACCATGGCAACAATATTTAGTGCCTTGATTTTCTGGTTTGAGGTCCAACCTGGAAGGTTCTTGACATCGAGACCTACTACCTGGTTAAAACCCGACACTCGATTGGTCTTGGCTGGCAATGGCACATGTGGACGAATCTGACTCTTGCACAGATCACAGTCGAATTTGCGAGCAAGGTCAATTGCCTTCTGGCTGGCCTGAGCATGTTTCAGCAGGCGAATCAAGTCGTGCACAGGTGGATGACCAAGATTCCTGTGCAACCGATCGAGGACCTTCTTGATTTGGTCATCGGGAACATCGCTACCTAGATCGGCTTTGGCCATCAAGACCTCTTGACATTTCTGCTCTGGGCATGATGGACATGCTGCACAGCTTGCTGCCTCCTGCTTCCTGAACATTGGGATGGTCGACAACACGGCATCTACAAACTGATGAGTGTATTGTCCAGCAAACGTACTTACTTGACCCACACCAGGAACAGATCCGGCAATGTGCTGATGACATGCATGCTTAGGATGTTGCTGACCCGGACATTCTTTGGCCAGAATCTTCATGTCCTCGTGACTGACCAACAAGTGGGTAACCTTTTTGAGGAGCTTGTCAGAACCAGGTAGTCTGAGACCATACCTACACATGTGACAAAGAATCAGGTGGTGTTCTTGACTCAAAGCCTGGACTTCTGGATATGTCCACAGTTTTGAAACCTGAGGGTGTTCCAAAAGCACTCTACCACCTAACTTCACTTGTTGCTCAAACAGTTGGCAGCAAAAGCGGATGTACATGCGACTCTGAGCGATGCGTCTTGCACGTTCGGCTGGTGTCATGTACACGCTGTTCAGGTTGAACCAACCGCCTTCGTCCGTGCAAGGCGGACAGAGAACAAGCAATTTGGGGGGTCTCTCACTCAGTTCTTGCTTCACAGCTGACCTGTCGGCGGCACGTCGAAAATCATACCCGTTGAGCAAATCGTATGAACGACTCGCGAAGCCCATTTGTTCCACCACCGGACTAAATCGAGGCGGTGAAAAGACTTCGGCAACTAGAAGTGTCCTACCATGATCATGAGACTGTTGGGACTTGTCATGGGGCTGTACGGCAGGCGTCTCCCGAACAATGGCCTCCAACTGCCGAAGATGATGCTTGGGCAGGCTCTCCAAGACCAGACACTCTTCCTGTGGCGTGTACAGAAATTCGGTTTGACATCGGAGTACATGTGGAGGGAGTGCATGACGATACTTGGCCTTACCTTTACTGGGATCAATTGACGCGTCGAAAAGCACCTCATGAGAATCAAGGTCGGTCACAATTCTATGTTTGACTGTCGTCCATCTGGGACCCTGCTTACCTAGCGAAGGAACATGAGTGGCATACATATCTACCCTACTCCACGATGCTGTTTCGGAATTCGGAGAACCTGCATCTGGAGCCATCAGCTTCTCGTTGTTGAGCTCGATGGACGACATGGCCGGCGGTTCACTACCCGACACGTCGAGGGTTGGTGCACTGACCTGATCGATGGCGGTGGTCATCATGATTTCTTCGAAGGCACTGTTGGAGCCTTCAGGATTGCCAAGCAAATCAACGGTGTATTGGCCAGCTTGATTGGTGGCCAAAGGAATGACTACACGATCATCGAAAACAGTCAGTTCATTCGTCTCGAAGTTGATGGTGGCTTTCAGGGTTTTGAGTGCACTGAGATCAACAGGGGCGCCTGGCCCTGCACAATGGCTGCCTTGATGGTTCCTACCCTGCCACCGAGATGGACGGGCACACGAATGGCCTGTTTGGACATCTCTTTGTGGCCGTTACCATACTTGAAGTGATTCACCTCAGAAAAAGGCTCTGGGATCTCCATCTGGCGGGCTTTCCACAAGTCTTTGAACTCTTGCAATGTGTCCCAACCAATGATGGAGCGGCCACAACCGGAGTCCAAAACTCCGAACCCAGGTGAACTCACAAGCAGCTGCTCTTCAGCAGTAGGTGAACATTTCTGTTGCTTCTCTCTCAACCACTGCAAGGATCGCCAAGAGGACGGCAGGATGTCGATCATGGCGATGAAGTGTTCTTCAACTACCATGGCTGCAGCTGATTCCTTGCCCTTGGACGACCCTTTTGAGGATGCTGACTTGTTCCAAGCACCCTTGCCTGACTTGCACTCACGAGCCCAATGTCCGACGGCGCCGCACTTGTTGCATTTGGTGCGACGCTTCAACTCCTCAATCTCGACTTTGAAGGAGCGACGAACATCTTGAGCTTGCTTGAAACGGCGGGCACGTTGGAGTTGACCCATCTCTTTTCTCCTCTCCTTCCAAGACACAGCTAGGGCCTCGGCTACATCAGGTTCATCGAACAACTCATCAGGTTCTTCGGAGGCGACCTGATGCTCTGCTAAGAACTGTTCAAGTTCGTCGAACTCTTCATCAGCAGCGATGTCGTCCTCAGGAGGTAGGGAATCCTCGACCAGTGAAATTCCTGCAGCGCGTCTCTTGCCAACAACGAAGTCGGGGTAACAAGAGCGCATGGCACGACCAATCTCTTCCCTCTTCAACACTCCCAACGACCGAGCGAGGACAACTGCCTTTTGCTCATCGCTCAAACCAGATCGATGTAGGATCATCCAACCGCGAGCTTCCTCAGGGAAGTTGACGTTGACCTTGCGTTGACATCGATCAAACAGTTCAGTTGCTCGAGAAATCCAGGCCTTCAGAGATTCTCCCTCATGGGATTTGACTGCAAACACTTCAGTCAAAACTTCCGACATCTCGTCGGAAGCGTCTTTCTGAGGAAAACGCTGGTCCAGGCGTTCGAAGATGATCTTCTCGCCATCCTTCTTCTGATAACTGCTGGGGTCAAGGTGCTCTACACACTCCAATGCTTTGCCAGACAAAAGGGTGTACACGTAGGCGCCACGGGCGTGTTCAGGAACCTTGTCAGCAATGGTGAGCAGTTTGTTGCTCACCCACACCTTCCATCGCTTGTATTCTTTGGCATCTTCTGAATCTCCACTGAACGATCGAAGACCAGTGGAGTCTGAAGTACTAGCAGCCGCGCTCATGCCGAATGATCCGGAGTAGAGTCCTATCTACCCGGAGCCCTGCTATTCAGGGCTCCGCTACCAATCTCAAAAACCTCGAAGTGGATCCTACCACCACATGTGGGCGCACC